CCCTTTCTCTTCCCTCTCTCCCTCCCTCCCTCCCTTTTCTCTCTCCCTCCCTCCCTTCCCTCCCTCACTTCCCTTTTCATTTCCTCAACATTTGTCTCGCTGATGTCACTACAAGGCCATCACGAAATAGAGAGAGAAGAGAGAGGAGAGGGAGAGAGAGAGAGAGAGAGAGAGAGAGAGAGAGAGAGAGAGAGAGAGAGAGAAGAGAGGAGAGAGAGAGAGAGAGAGAGAGAGAGAGACAGAAAGGGAGAGAGAGGGAGAGAGAGAGAGAGAGAGAGAGAGAGGAGAGAGAGAGAGAGAGAGAGAGAGAGGAGAGAGAGAGAGAGAGAGAGAGAGAGAGAGAGAGAGAGAGACGAGATGAGAGGGAGAGAGAGAGAGAGAGCGGAGAGAGAACGAGTGAAGAGAGAGAGAGAGAGAGAGGAGAGAAGAGAGAGAGAGAGGAGAGGAGAGAGAGAGAGAGAGAGACAGAGAGAGAAAGGGAGAGAGAGGGGAGAGAGAGAGAGAGAGAGAGAGAAGAGGAGAGGAGAGAAGAGAGAGAGAGATGAGAGAGAAGAGAAGAAGAGGAGGAGAGAGAGAGAGCAGAGAGAGAGAGAGAGGTGGGGTGAGAGAGGAGGGAAGAGGGGGGGAAAAGGGGAGAGAGGAATTTGGGGGGGGGCAAAATGGAGGGCAAGGACAAAAGGAAAAAAAAAAAAAAAGTATAGCCAAAACAAAGAAAAAAAATAAGAAGCAGAAAAAAAATATGGAAATATACAAAACAACAACGAAGATAAAAACCAAAACAAAAAAGGAAAAAAAGAAACTACCAGAAAGAAAACAAAAAGAAAATAAGGAAAAAAGAGGGGAAAAGGACAAAACGAGGGGAGCCTTTGTTATTTTAAGAAGCGAAGAGAATGAGACAAGTGACAGCTAAAGGGAGGACAAAAAGAGCGCCACGGAAGAGAGGGGAAGTGAAGGGAAAAGGGGGGTAGGGGAAAGAGGGGAGGCGAGGGAAAAGGAAAAAGAAGAGGGGAAAGGTGGGGTAGCAAAGGGAGGGAGGGGAGGGGGAAAGGAGAAGAGAAGGCGAGGAGAAAGGAGGGGAGAGAAGAAGCAGAATCCAGGGAAAAGGGAGGTAGAGAGGAGATGAGGGGAAAGAAAGGGGAAGAGGAGAAGAGGGAGATAAAACAGGTACAGAAAGACAGAAGAGAGGAGAAACAGGAAAAAAATGGGGAAAAGTAGGGTAAGTGGGGAAGAGAGACAGTAGAGAGGAAGTGAGAGGGGGAGGGGAGGGAGGAGAAGGGGAAGAGCATGTGAGTGAGGGGAATGACAGGAAAAATGTAATATCGTCAGTCTCTAAACAGAGGAATCAGCATCCTATAGAATCACACAATAAGGTTAGAGAGGGGAAGAGGAGGATTACGAGAGAAGAAGAGAGGAGAGAGAGAGAGAGAGAGAGAGAGAGAGAGAGAGAGAGAGAGAGAGAGAAGAGAGAGAGAGAGAGAGAGAGAGAGAGATGAAGAGAGAGAGAGAGAGAGAGAAGAGAGAAGGAGAAGAGAGAAGGAGAGAAGGGAGAAGGAGAAGAGAAGGAGAATGGAGAAGGAGAAGGAGAAGGAGAAGGAGAAGGAGAAGGAGAAGGAGAAGGAGAAGGAGAAGGAGAAGAGAAGAGGAGAAGGAGGGAGAAGGAAAGGAGAAGGAGAAGGAGAAGAAGAGAAAGAGAGAAAGAGAAAGAGAGAGAGAAAAAAAAGAGGTGGGAGAAGACGGAAAAGAGTGAGACAGACACATACATACCAAAAAACAAACAACAAACAACCAATAAACCAAAAATAAACAAACACCCAAAAAGAACACAAAAAAAAACACAAACCCAAATACCCAAAACAAAAAAAACAAAAAAAACACACACACGAAGAAAAAACAAACAAAAAAACAAAAAAACAAACAAAAAAAACAACACACACGAAAAGAAACAAACAAAACAAAACAAAAAACACACACACGAAGAAAACAAACAAAAACAAAACAAAAAACACACACCACGAAGAAACCAAACCAAAACAAAAACAAAACACCACACGAAGAAACAAAAACAAAACAAAAACACACACGGAAAGAAGGAAACAAAACAAAAACCAAAAACCAAAAACAAAAACCGACAACCCGAGCCAGGCGCCGAGCTCACGGACCACACCACACGGCGGCGACAGGAAAACAAAGCACCATCAGCGCTTTAAAATTACAGCGGATCATCGGATGAGGGAAGAAGAGTACGTGTCGCGCTCGAGGAGTAGGTGGTACACGCCAACATCCTTGAGGGAAAAGAGCAATGTTGGCCGTTGGTGGTCCGTTTGTGGGTATTTTTGTTTGTTTTGGATTGTTTTTAAAGGACGGAAGTGTAGCGGTGTTATGTTATGATGGTGTAGATGTTTGTGTTTTTTCTCTCATCTGTCTTTGTGACGCAGGTGGACACGACGAAGAGGGACAATGAGAGCGTATGAGGTAGCGAGGGGCGAGGTTTGTGTGATGGAGATGTGGGGAGGGGGGGAGGTAGGTGTGGGATGTGTGTGTGGGGGAGGGGGGAGAGGGAGGAGGGGGTGAAGTGTGTGTATGGATGTTTGGGGGAAGTGTGATGTGGATCTGACTGATGTGGTGTGTGAGTACGGGTGATGGTAGAATGAAAGGAATGGCTGAGGCGAGCGTGGGAGAGAGCGGAGTAGAGAGAGCAGATGAGAGAGGAGAGAGATGAGAGAGGTGAGAAGAAGCGAGAGTAGAGAGTAGAGAGAGATGGAGAGGTGTGTAGGTGTGAGGATGTGATGGTGGGGTGTGGAGGTGGTGGAGAGGATGGAATGTGTGAGGAAAAGAGAGAAAGAGAGAAGAGAGAGAGCAGAGAGAGAGAGAGAGAGGAGAAAGAGAAAGAGAAAGAGCAAAGAGAAAGAGAAAAGAGAGAAAGAGAAAAGAGGAAAGAGAAAGAGGAAGAGAGAAAAAAAAGGAAAAATAGAGAAAGGAGGAAAGAAAGCAGAAAAGAAACAGACAA